TTATTTACATATAAAGAATAATGCATGTTCATGAAGAATGAGTATCGCAATTGAAATGAATTCTAAATTCAAAGCTTAAATTAAAGCTTATCTTACTTAACTTGTATTTTAAGAAATATTCTACATTATTACATTGTATTGCCAGAACATTGAAAGAACGAATGTGAAAAATAAAAGTTTAATATTCTCCCGATTACCGTATTAACACGATGTTTTATTCAAACGTGATAACAAAGGTCATAAGGTTGCCTCCACGCTGATCGCACAAATATACCGACTGAATGTCACAGTATTCGGACGTTCGGATGCTTGTTTTTGTCCTTGCACGACACTTACTTCTTCGCTTAATTGTATAAATCAATTAATGCGCACGGGAAACCAACATGCCATTTTCTCGATTTATATTACATGCAACGAATAAATAGAATGCCGTAGTGAAGCATCAACGGATCTAGTTCGATACATCAATAAAGTTATCCTCTTAAAGGGGGGGGGGGAGAGAAAAAGACAAAAGAAAGAAAAAAGAAGAAAAGAAAAATAGAAGCATTGCAGTTACTATAGAGACACGATAGAGCATCGGGGACTCGTTACATACATTTGGTCTATGTTTCAAATATTGTCAATGTATATAAAATCAATACAATACAATAAAGCAACATAGATCATTAAATACGCAATCTACGAAGTATACAGAAATAGGTAAAACGCGCTATATTTATATAGACTTTCGTTCGAATCTTATTTTTTTTTTCTTTTTTCATTTATCTTATTTTATTTATTTATACAATCTTATTTCATTTAATCCACGTAAAAATTTGTATGAAATTATAAAAAGCTTTAACGATCGTCTCTCTACAATTCATATGCGTTAGCCTTATTAGTAGTATTATGATTAGTAATAAAACATATTAATAAAATAGCAGTATACATCATTTCCGTTATATCATTACAAGCAGATTATTTAATATTGCTTCATTGATAAATATGTTTATATAGTTAAATAACCAATACTATTATTGATTTTATTCTTCCGCTGTTATCCCCCACTAATACTGGCGAAGGCGGGGCAAGGTGTTACGTCAGAAGCGGAGTACTGTTTTTTCACAGGCGTAGCCAATCGTGAAAAAACATTACGCTACTACAGTTGTGCCGTAAATGCGCTCGTTATGAAAAATCACATAAATGCTACTTATTCGTCTCTACCTCGGCAATTTATCCATTTTCCGACCAATCGATTGCGGATGATTGATTTTCATAAATGACACAGGATTTTCCAAGCCAAGATCGATAATATTACGTTTTCAAAGATAATCGCTTACCCCATTCCATCCATACCTCAAATATGCAAATACGACTGATAAAACACGTGGGACAATTAGCGAATGTGGGAATAATAAAGAGAGACTGCAAATATGATGATAAATTGCAAATATGATGAGTAGTAATCAATATAATGAACTGTTATTCAATAGAGCCGTAGCCTCTACGTGTCCTTGAAAAAACAAGTGCACACATACGTAATAGAGATAATCTGTCGGAGCGTCTCCATGTAAATATTCAAAGATGTAAAGAGAGTCGCGTTATGCACGCGTGTATGTTGCGCTTACTGCACTGAGCGCTAAGAATAGCAGCGAGAATGTTGTATAAGCTACCGCCACGACATTGTAAACAAATGCCCCGAGCACAAAATTATATAGATCATCGATACTGCATCCGTATTAGTTATCCTGTTTCTCACTGTCCTGCAGTTAGAAACATTGATTAATTAGCGCTCAATTACATTCGATACGATCTTTATGTTCTTAAAGTTTAGGCAAATCCGATTAAACAATTCAATAAGTACAAGTAATTATTCAATGTTTTTGTTTGTTTTTTTTTTTTTGTTTTTTTTTTTTGTTTTGTTTTATTTATGTTCTTATTGGAAGCTAGCAAATTGGAATATCTACAATCTTTCCGATAAAAATGCTAAAAAATTATTCATCAAAATAAGCCTTATTATCATTCGAAGCTAACAATTAGAAAATCATCAATATCAATGACTTGATAAAAAATTATGTTCTCGTTTCCTCTCATTGCTTTATCGTGAAATTAGTGTCCAATAGCTATTATAACAATTTGCGAATAATGTTCAAAATAGTAGTCGAGCTCGTTTGATTTACGCACCATTCAAGATAGAAATTACGAGTGCTCGCGCGATTGATTCATAGGACATTTTCACGCGCGATTAGTCAGTGTTGAAACTGCAGCGGCGCTCACGCACTCACATGTCGTTAAAGACAATTTGGACGAGGCGACGCTCACGCCTTGCCACTCACTGCATTCGATCACTTACGAAGACGAATCAATGAACGTGGAAAGTGTGCTTTCGAGTGCACCACGTTCAAGATCAATAATACTCAGCGTTTCGTAAGAGCTTGGCACGACTTTGAAAAGTTACAACTACTGGATTATAAAGCGTTGAGGAGGAGAAGCTGATATCACTTAAACGAGGTTTAATGTTGCATTTCATCGAGGTGACGAGGATTGAAGAGAAAATGTTCTTAATCGATATCCGCGGCGTTACCAAGTGCTTGTTTTTCAACAGTTTGTCAATTATCTGTGGAGTTATGGGAATTTCGGTGGGTTTGGAATTTATTTAAACGCAATGGCCAGTTGGCCCCATTACTCTGACTCATTCAATATCTATTTCAAACATACGAAATTGCCTACGAACATTGTAATACATGTATGCCGCGCAAGTATTATACGCTGTGCGCCAATGTTATGCGCTTTTTATCATGTACGTTGGGTTAACGATATCTTAAATGTAAGCGGATATATGCATAAATGTTTGTCTACAAGCATACGGCTCACTTGGCGAATGCATTGCCTATAACTTTGTGTAAACAGCGTTATAGCTTGCGCATGCTCTTGTCGTCTAATACCGATCCAACGGCATAATTATGCACATTAAATATCCTGTTAATGGCATCATTATAGTCAATGGGCGTTAAATTTGATCATATATTTGATTGTATATTTGATAAATATAATTTTAAGTATCAAGAAATCGAACATTATGTGAATAAAAATAGAACATTATTTCGAATGTCTTTGATGTTATTTTACCAATCGTATTTATATATGCACTAATTTCTCAGAAAATTCACACAAATATCATATAGATGAATAAATTTTATTTTTGCCTTTAGTTATTTATTCACTTTGTGTATATAACGTTCATTATATTTTCATTGTAATTTATGAGCAGCAATCTCTTCGGTCTTTAAAAAAAAAAAAAAAAAAAAAAAAATAGCCAAAACATCTTGCGGTAAACGTTCTGGATAAAGACACTATATACTAGGATAGATAAATGTTTTTTACAATGAGTCTTCCAAACAATTTCGGTGACAAGACCAGCTTTTCAAATTATGTTCCTGTCTCAAGGTCAAATCGAATATTTCACAACACTGAAAAATACGATGTTACGATATTTATCGCGAATTATTTAAAAATAAAGACAAATTTTTCTGCGCTCCCTACGCAAATATAATGTATTAACCAAGCATTTTGAAATATTTTTTAAAAAAGCGTTTTGATCTCGCATAAGTGTCATTTAGCCTCTTACATAGACCAAAAGAAATTATTATCTCAAAATCAAACTTAAAGTCTTTGGTATAAAAACTGATTTCTTATTATCTAATAAATATTTGTATAATAAGAATAATGAAAAATTAAGAGTAAAATGTATAAGCTACGGAATTTATACTCTCATACGTATATACATGAGCATGAGCGCGCGCAAACCTTACGCATATACACGAAACATCAAACAATTAAACAAACAAATAAACGTAGTATTAATGTATATGAATTGTAAATCTTTCAAAGTTCGATTTAAGAAAAGGTGTTATAAAATTTGACATTAATTAAATAAGTATTTGCTTACCGATGCATTATATCATCGATTAAATCTGTGTATGAAATTATTAATTTCCGTGATATATAGATATATATTTATTTTCAATGTTTTTCGATCAAAGTTAAATAATAGGCGCTGAGTACAATTTTGAATCATCAATTAATTAAAATAGAGACTGCATGCCCAATTTAATTAATATGATGATATTTCTTTACATCAATTTAGTTAAAAATGATCAGTTTACGTACAAACGGAACATTTTTTACTCATACATTTACAATGCGACAATGAAATTCGATAAACAAGTTTATAAATAGATTATATACCTATAATGTTAGCATATGTATGTGAAAGAGGAACGATAGATCATTTCTTCAATCTCTTCATTAATCGTTGCAACTACTTAAAGGTTTTTCTGAAATCGATTATATAAATAAATGAATTACACTTACTTTTACTTAGGAAATTCAGATATTTTTCTTAAAACCAATATAGAGTCTGCAATTATTTAATTATAAATTGACTCTAATTGTAATAGCCAAAATAAAATTTAATTATTAAAATACATGGAAATTAATATATAAGCAGAAAACATACAATCTAAATAATATTCAATAATTGATTTTGTGATATAGTATTAGAATTATAGTTGATATAGTAATTTAGAATTTCCACTTTAAATGCCTTCTGTTGTAGACAAACATGGAGACTCGAAACGAGTGATAATAATCTCTGCAAAAAAAAACTTTAATCTATTTTTACGTTATTAACTTTCAGTCTATAATCCTATGCTGATTTTCAATTTTTATGATAAAATACTTTATCGCCCATACACTATAAATTTATTTATAATAATTCGTCATTGTCTTAATTATTATTATTATGTTTTGTAATAAATAATTGTTAGATATTATAAAAACAAATTTTTATCAATATTTATGTGTATCAATATAATTTATACGTATCAAATAGATATATAGTCAAGTATACATGAATCGAATTATTTAACAAAAAAAAAAAAAAAAAAACTAGAAAAAATTTATATATAATATGTTTTCTCTATAATAAAATGTTTATTCCCATTCTATTTTAGATAGCCGTCAAGATGTGGCGATCACGATTATTATTAAGCCTCTTAATTTTTGCATTCATTATCAAGAAAGTAAATCCAAATCAATGTCTGACAATGCTAGAAGGTTCGCATTATTATTTTATTATAATGTTTTATTATTAAAAAGTTTCATAAAATTTCTTTTGAAATAGAAGTAAACCCAAAAAGACTTGTGCGTCTCGAAGGTCAATCGTTAAATATTCAGTTTGAAATATCAAGAAGAGTATCTCAAAGATTAGTTACTAGAGTTATGAGCATATTTCTTCAAGAGATTTTGGGTTACTCAGATATTAATATTGTTGAAAAAGAAGATGAATTTAATGTCACAGCGACATTTGTTAGACTATCAGAAAATTTGACCAATTCCCGTAAATCTATGTGAGTAAATTTTACGAATGATAATCAGGATAATATATTAAATAAATATAATTTTTACTTTTATCTAATGAATTATTTGTAAAATTAATTTATTTTGATAGGATACCTGAGTCTATGGTTAATATGGAAGTATGGATTCCACCTCAATTGGATATTACGTCGTTGTTAAATAAACACGACGTTTTACAAGTTGGATCAATTACTTCCCCAGGACATTTTGGTTGGTTCATACCGAATAGATTATCAAGACTGAACGATAGTTGGCTAACATTTACGAAACAGGACACAGCCGCTCGTTTCGACGTTGACGAAATTAATTTAAAAAAAATTATGAATGCCACAATGAATACCGACAATAAATATTACTGTCAAGAATCGTTCTGTCACGAGGGGATGTACGTTCCCGCTCAGTGTCAGTCCCACAAACACAAATCGCAGCCTTGTGCAATGCTATTGGCCGATTATTCTGGTGCGACGAAATTTATAAAAGATCATATTGATCATTGGAAACTGTATGTAAGAGTAGCTTGGGTCGGTCCTAATTTGAAACAAGTGATAAAATCATTGACGAAGGAGTATTTGCAGCTTACACAAAATACCTCACCGATAGATAAATCCGTAGTAATTTTACATTGGACGCCAAGTAACGTAATACCAAACGAAATGGAATTCGTAAACGTAGAATTTCCAGGATGTGGCTCTCGAGGTTTTAATGAAGGATGCCAATACGAAACTAAGAAATTAGAAAAACTCGTATGGAATGGATTGCAGCTCATTGCAAAATTAGCTTTCGAAGCAATTAATAGAGTACAATACAGCGACTACATGTATGAAAATTTAATAAACAAATACAACGAAAAGTTAATAAATAAATATAATAGTTATTCGAAATTATCTACAATAGAGCAAGAGGTTGCGTGCGATTGGTTAAAAGAAAATTTAAATTATACTCTTACCAACTGGATGCCAAACGATGAAGATAAAAATACTTTAATAATTGGAGGAATTTTTCCAATGACTGGCACATTTTATACCGCAAAGTCTATCGTCCTTGCAGCACAAATGGCCAAAAAAGCCATTAACCGTAACAATACCATTTTAAGAGACTATAACTTAAAAATTTTAATAAACGATGGCCAATGCAAATCAGACATTGTAATAAAATCCTTTATCGACTACATCTTGCATAATTTTTATAGAAAATTAATTGGCGTGCTTGGTCCAGCTTGTTCGGAGACAATAGAACCTCTCGCCGGAGTATCTAAACATTTTTATACCGTAATTATGAGTTACGGTGCAGAAGGTTCGAGTCTCAGTGATAAAAGCCGCTATCCATATTTTTTTAGAACAATAGGAGAAAATCGACAGTACAAATATGTATATATACAACTATTGCAAAAGCTCAATTGGCACAGAGTTGCAGCATTTTCTGAAGACGGTTTGAAGTACACAGAGTACATTTCGTACATGCAAGAGATGCTTAGAGAAAACGGAATAACCTTTGTTGCAAATATTAAGTTTCCAAGAGAATGGCAGCCCGAAGTACTAACAAAGGTACTTTGCATTTAAATAATGATTGAATATAATCATTTGTTCTATGAAAAACAAAAACAAAACAAAAAATTAAAAAAATAAATATATATATATATATATATATATATATATATATATATATCATATAATTACATATATATCTGCTTTTTTAATAGTATTTGGAAGATCTGAAACAAAAACGAGCAAGAATCATCATATCGGATGTTTACGACCAGGTAGCTCGACTGGTTATGTGCGAGGCTTACAGATTGGAAATGACAGCGGCTCAGGTAATTTAAAGATATAAACATATTTATTATTTGTAATATTTAGTACATTTATATATCCTTGTAATTTAAAGATATAAACATATTTATTATTTGTAATATTTAGTATTTTTATCTAAATATATCTCATACATTTATATATCCTTGTTTTTTTTTTCTTCCATTTCTCTAATAAATTATTAAATTAAATGCAAATTTTAAACAAATTAATTCAGGGATACGTGTGGTTTCTTCCACTTTGGCTTCGAACAGACTGGTTCGACACTAATCATTACAACAAAATGGGAGAAAGTACACCTTGTACTACTGCAGAAATGAAAAAGGCTATAAATGGTTATTTGGGAATATCTCATGCGAATTTCGCGCCAGACGACAGTATAATGCAGGAAGGTATAACAGTTCGTCAGTGGCGCGATAAATATGAAAATTATTGTCTATCGCAGAAAGAAATTACATCACCTTATGCAGGATATACTTATGACGCAATGTGGACTTATGGTTTTGCAATAGATCGATTATTAAAAGAAAATCAGAGTTATATTTTCGACTTGCATTCCGAGCATACAGTTAATCGATTCACAGATATAATATCCAAGACTGACTTTAATGGGGTAAACAAATATGATATATATTGGAATTATTATTATTAAAAATGGAAAATTATAATTATTACGTAATGTTAATTAAAAATGTACTATTCATGTGATGTGTAGGTATCGGGTAGAATAAAATTTGTCGGAGGACCATCCCGATTTCCAGTCATTAATATTTATCAACACGTTGACGGGGTGACGCGTTTAGTTGGAAATTTTCATCCAAATATATCGGAAGAAACAAGTCAAGTATGTGGTGGAACGTTGGACTTAAATATATCAGCGATTTTATGGTTATCCGGAAAAAAACCAGATGACGGTTCGGAACCGCCAAAGAAATGTGTATTTTTTGGATTTGCCGAATTATTAAATGTTTCGTGCGAAGGTGCCATTGTCATTGTTAATATAATTGGATTTGGTTTATTAGGAATATTTCTCGTGATAGTCGTCATTATTATTAAAAGAAAGTTCGTATTATTTTCATTGATTAAAGATTAAAGCACGAAATTAATATCCTAAAATCAATTATTAAACATTATTGTTATTATTATTATTATTATTATTGTTGTTGTTGTTGTTATACATTACAGGTATGATCAGAAGGTACGCTTACATGAGAAATACATGAAGTCTTTGGGTCTCGACCTTTTGCAGCCCGACACGTCAGGCCTCGACAAGTGGGAAATACCGAGAGAACGAGTAGTTATAAATCGTAAATTAGGCGAAGGCGCATTCGGAACTGTTTACGGAGGCGAAGCATTTTTCCCTGAAAAGGGATGGCTCGCCGTGGCTGTAAAGACTTTGAAAGTGGGAAGTAGTACCGAAGAGAAGCTTAATTTCCTTAGCGAGGTTGAGGTTATGAAACGTTTCGAGCATAAAAATATTATTAAGTTATTGGCAGTGTGCATTAAATGTGAACCTGTACTTACTGTTATGGAATTTATGCTTTATGGAGATTTGAAGACTTATTTACTTGCCAGGAGGCATTTAGTAAATGATCAACATTACGAAGACTCCGATGAGATATCCAATAAAAAATTAACGGCCATGGCGCTTGACGTTGCGAGAGCATTAAGCTATCTCGCTCAGCTGAAATACGTGCACAGGTAAATCTACACGTTCACGTATTTCATACACATATATTAATTATGGGCACGATTATTAAATTAAATTTTTATCGCAGAGACGTTGCATCACGAAATTGCCTTGTAAATGCACAGCGAATTGTCAAACTCGGCGACTTCGGTATGACGAGGCCAATGTATGAAAACGATTATTACAAATTTAATAGAAAAGGTACGTAGTACTAGGTCATCGGAAATTTTATTAACCGTCCAACATTTTACTGACAATTCTCGTTTATTATGCTCTAGGTATGCTCCCGGTTCGATGGATGGCTCCCGAATCCTTAGGTTTAGGAATTTTTACACCAGCTTCGGATGTCTGGTCGTACGGCGTATTACTGTACGAAATAATAACGTTTGGTAGCTTTCCATTTCAGGGTATGAGCAATAATCAAGTACTCACGCACGTAAAATCCGGAAATTCGCTTACCGTACCAAAAGGTGTTAAGCCACAACTGTAAGTAATTTTTTAAAAGATCGAAGACAATCATCCCTTAAAAACATTTCGTATGAAACACGAATGAATGAATCTGTCCATAGGGAGGGATTGATTCGTTCGTGCTGGTCGGTGGATCACACAAAAAGACCAACGGCACCGGAAATCGTTGATTTCTTAGCGACAAATCAGCGCGTCATAGCACCATGTCTTGACGTGCCATTGGCAAGCGTGCAATTGGAACACACTGGTCAAATAGAGATGCAACTGAATGCAACATCCGATAGGAAGTTCTCGTTCCCTTGGCCGGGGCAGACCGTTAAAGCGGACAACAAATCCTCGCCTGCAATCGACACGCCATTGCTTGACATTAATAATCCGTCATTGTCGGGGGATCGAAATTTTGATTCTATCTTAGGATGCAGTAGAACGTCCGAGATCGAGAGCAGAAAGCCGCTATTGGGTGATTCTGTCCCGGATTCTGCTCCCGGTTGTTCAAAGAGCGATGCCGCACGTTACGTCAATTTACAACCGGGTCCCCCAGGTCCTACAATCGGTGCCTATCTAGACATACCAAATGGAGACACGTGCAGCATACCACTTAATGAGCGAATTTTGCCACTTCCCGGAACAAACTTCAATAACATCTCCTTCTTATAACACTATGTTCAGTGACGTGACATTTTTTTTTTTTTTTTTTTTATTTAAGATACTTTCGAAAGGATAATAAAAATTTTGTTAGTATAGAGTATTGCCAATATTCTGAGCAAATGTAAAAAGATAAAGCTTTTTGTTTTACAGTATGGAAAAAATGTTCTATGTGTATCTGTGATAGTTGAGTTCTAAATCAAGACTCAATGTTAGATATAAATTTTGAATCAATATAATCGATATTAATCGAGGAAGTTGCAGCTTAATAGTTAGTTAGTTGGTGTGTTATTTACAGGAGAATATCACATTATTCGTATAAAGTTGTTTTATTTACTGCTTTATTTTTGAGACTGAGGATCGGGGAACACAATCGAATAGTCATAAAATGATATCAATTAATAAAAGAATTATACGTTACGTTCTAATAGATCAAATGATTTACGTAATATGGGACAGTAGAACTGATTCTTTGTAGGTTCATCGATAATTATAGTCAAATTAAGTATGCATGACAGATGCTGTAGATATTACAAATATTTAAGTTTTTAATTTAATATGTCTTATCTCTTATGCTAGAGAACCCATTTCATACAAAAGTAGATCATAATACTGATAAGTACATACATGTCTATATTTCATCACATATTTTCATGAATAATTTATATTACTTTAATGATAAGGTAAATATTTCGTTATTTACATTATTTTATTTACTTGAGAAAGTAAACAAGAAATCATACATCTTTAGTTCCGATAAGGTAAATTGATATACATTTATGAAAGTAGCCATAAAAGCGAAAGGAAAAAATTATAGAAAACTATAGAAAATTCACAGAATGTTGAAATAAAAAAAAAAAACAAAACAAAAAAAATACAATTAAATCCCAAAATAATTGATCGTGTTCCAACGTTGTACAATTAATAAAGTTGTAAATAATGTATTATTATTTAACTCTATATTATTATTATTTACAAATGAGCTGCAATCCATAATCTATATACGGCTATGATTATAAATAGAAATATAATTAAATAGATAAAAAATTTCAACTTTTGCATATAATATATACTTCATTACCTCAATTCATCCTCTGTATTATGATTTTTATGGATTTATCGTTACACAAAACTGCAATAATGTTCCTACAACCTCTGTTGAGCTTTATATGATTTTTTAATTATCATACATCATTTACAAAAATATGTTCTAATAATTTGGCAGATTTCATTCATTATAAACCGAAGACTTACTATATTATATATATATATATATATATCCTAATGTGCAATTGTTCCGTTACAATTTATCTAAAATATGTATAAATAAATATCCGAGATGTAAGAAGATTTTATTTTATAATAATTACTATGAATCCAATAAACATTAATAGACATAATTTAGTTGATAATATAAAATATATTACTGAAATATGTATTCGATATTTATTGAAACTTTTATATAAATATTCTACAAATTATAAATTTCATAGTGTTATTATTTATCATTTCAATATATTACAATACCATTTAAATGACAAATTAATATGAAATATGATTTTCAACACGTGAAGATTTATTAATACAATACACATTGAAGGTAAGAATTGTCTTGGTTAAATCATAATTGACCTAGTAAACTTTTTACTAACAAGCTATGAGAGCAATATTAAATATTATTTAATTTGGAAACTTCCAGTCGAGAAACGTTATTTATTCTAATATTATTAATATAAATATACGTATACTAGTTATAAACCTATATATGTATAAATAAATTCAACTTGTGTTTAAAAAAGACAATCGAAAAATACAACAGATAATTGCCAGTTTCGGTGGCTCTGAGACATTTTTATCTTTAAATGTTTTACTTCCCTAGATACCACGTAATTTTACTTGGCACAATCACATTGTTAAACAAAATTGATATATCGGGTTAATGTATACTTAATGTATACAAAATTGCCAATATAGTTGATTATAGTCATCTCTACTAATTTGCTGTTAGTAACAATATAAATAAACAGTAAAGTAATAATACAAAAAAGTCAAAAATACTGAAAATTTTACACAAAAATAAAAATAATAATAACTAATTTTTACTTAAAACATTAAATACAAATAGTATGAATAGAACGGAATAATGAATTTGGAAGTTCATTATCTATTAAAAATTTTGTGTTGATAATAAATGTAATTTTCAAGTGAATGGGAGAGTCGATGTAAGGATTGTAGGAGAACTAATCATAATTATTCAACTAATCATAATCACATTATTATGTGTCAAAATCATAATATTATATACTTATCAAAATGTTTTATAAATAATAGTTCATATAGAACGTAAACTGGAAAAGATTTGTTCTATTAAAATAAACATGAATGATGTGATTCTTGTTTGAATTAGAAATAGTAACGGAACATAGTGTGAACTATGGTAGTATTGTAGACATTCAACAGCTGATATAGCCCAGTGAATTTTTTTTTATTTTAATAATAGTTTATTCAGCAGCTTGAAAAATTATAGAGCTGATGAATACGATTATTGGATTAAACTTTTAAAATTATAGTGTAGAATCCGACCACTTCCTCTTTCACGTTCGTTGCAATAATGCGACGCTCGTTCTCCAGATCCTGATAAAAATGACATTTGCATAATTCTGACGTGGATGACCAAGGTTAAGAAATTTTTAATTCATATTATTCACTTCCATAGATGACAAAATTCTGTCGTTGCAACATTATATACATTTTCTATGGCTATATTGATTCAAATTGATTAATGCCGCTACCGACTTTTATTCTTCACTAGAATTAAAATTCTGAAAACGAACAGTTTCTTTCCTAATCAATTGAATCTTTCATTTACTTATTGTACCAGATTTTTTTAAATATCTGTAAAAGATATTAATATATCATCAACGTCAATGTCGTAATGTATTATTTAACCACGGAATTTATTGCTGTGACACAAAATTGAAGTGATGTTTGCAATTTTCGACAATGCATTTAGAAAAAATAATGATGGAACAAAATTTTATGATTATTAATAAATCGTCTTATTGTGTGTTTACAATTTTATCGATTGTTTATATTATTGTTTAATATTTATGTACTTTATAAATACTTAAATATTTATTTGGTACAAATAGTGAACAAAATACATTTTATGTAAATAAATAAGATTTGTATATTTCTATCCTAGGATTGATTGTAAAAACATTGATTCTTATCTCAAAGTTGCTTCAAAAAGTAACGGATCGTATTGTGATATTATGATATTCATTTTAAATATGATTGAAGTTAAGAATTTTTTTTCTTTATTAAGCTTAATTTATCAATATTTTTATTGTTATAAATATTGTAAATAAAAATACAAATATATGATAAATCTCTTTCTCTCTCTCTCTCTCTCTCTCTCTCTCTATATATATATATATATATATATCGATTTACTAAACCAGTTTTAATAACATGTCTAAAGGGTATAATAAATTAAAGGGTCTATATCTCTGATATAACTATTTCTAATTTATATAGTTATTTCTACGAATTGCAAATAATTATAAGTAATTTATTAATAATATTCATACTGTATATGTGACAATATATTAGTTTTATGTATTTTTAAAATTACTTCTCTTTTTTTCTACAATAGTACTAGTTAAATTGGATATAATTAAATGTATATATCTTGGTATTAAATTCATAAAATTTTATATGCAATTATTTTCCAGCTTCTCAATCGACTTTATTTTTGAGTATTATATATATATATATATATATATATATATATATATATATATATATATAAGCGCAATATGAAATCTCCAGTTTATTTTATAGCAAATAAACATTCAGGTAAGTAATAAATAATTCCATTGAGATATAATTATGAGAAATAATTTATAATATATTTTTAGCCGTAAAGAAATTTAATAAACCAAAAACATTTAAATTACATGGAAACAGTATTGAATAATTAATATATTATGCTGTACTATATATTTTTATTAAATTAGTTTGTAAAATGTAATAATTTTAATACTAATAATTTTAATAGATTAATATATTTTTTAAGAAACAATATATTTTTTTATTAAATACTATGAAGGTTGATATATAAGGCAGTTGATTAATTTGTCAGATTTAAATAAAAAATTATAAGTTCAAAAAGTAATAGATTTGTTAAACACGATATTATGGCAATAAATAATTATTTAAAAAAATATATAATGTAATACTTTTCAAATAATATTACTCAGTTGAAATATATAATGAAAGTCATCTAGTATGATTGATAAAAAAATGCATTATTTAATATATGACACAAATTACTTGTAAATAATCCAGTCAGACATGTGCTTCACTAAATAAATATTTTATAAGGAATATCGAACATTAGACATTATGATTAAACTTACGTTTAAAAATTTTATGTTGTAAGTAAATTTTATGCTGATGATTTGAATATCAATATTTATAGAAAAATTTAATATATTCTATCTTTTTAATACAATCAGCCATTTAAATTTGACGTTCAAATAATTTATCTTGTCAATTCTATATAATTTCTTTATATCATTTATTAATATTAATAATTTTCAACAACAATTATTTCTTAATTTCAAAAAATTCAAATTACATGTTTATTGCCATTTTGTTATTTGAGATTTTGAGTCGTAAAAAATACATATGTTAGGGAGTTCAGTAAAATTCTAAAATAAAACGCTAATGACTTGAAAATAGCAGTTGAGACGTCAATAAAGTACTTGCAGTCTATAAAACGTTAGAAATTTAAAAAATGTGGTACTATTTATGCTTCTCTTTTAATATTTTAGGATTTATTCAATTTTCTATACTTAAAAGTGATATATTGAATAGTACCAATTTCAAGTGTAATATCAACAACAAAAAAATTCAGTATATAGTACAAGTGTTTCAAGTTGCCCGATGGTTAGAAAAGAAAGTTTGTTGATATATATATATAATATAATTTACGTTATTTTGGAATGTATTCATTT